TTAAGAGGAATAAGCTTATCAAGAATAGAAGTAATGTAGATATTAAAAGCACAGACAAAATCATCAACATCAGAAAATAAGGTAGTATCAAAAATAGGTTCAGTAAGAGATTGAAGAAAAATATCTTTATTAAGAGAAGACCAGCATCTTTTAGAAATAGACATAGATGAATTTGAAGGAAGAAAATCTAATGAAAAAACAGATTCAATAAGAAGGTGATCAGAGTAAGGAACAGAGCTAGCAGAGATATTAATAGGCTTAGAAAAAGATGAAGCTATTATAAAATCAATAGTGTTACCAGAAGTATGGGTAGGAAAAGAACAATATTGAGTTAAGTTAAAAAGAGACAAAATATCATTAAACCTACAAGTGTAAGAACATGATAAATTATTGAAGTGCAAGTTAAAATCACCAGAGATGTAGAAAGGAATAGAAAAAGAGTAGAGAGATTCAGCGAGTGAGTAGAATTCATCTAAAAATAAAGTGAGAGAAGAAGAAGGAGGGCGATAGATTACAGCAATATAGAAAGATAGAGAAGAAGACTTAAGAGATACAGCAAGACATTCAAAAGAAGAAAAGTGAAAGGAAGTAATAATGGAAGCAGTAAATAGAGATTTATAAAACAAACAGATACCTCCATAAGAAGAATGAGAAGATGATAGAAGATTTTTTGGAGGTCTAGAGAGTTCAAGGAAGCTGTAACCATCAGGAGTAGCAAGAATAAGAGAGGGAGAGTTAGAGTCCTCGTGCCAAGTTTCAGTAAGAGTAAAAAAATCAGGTAAGGAGGAAGAGATTATTTGATGGATATAGAGCGATTCTTTATTAATTGATCTTATGTTAATATTAAACAGTGAAAATGTAGAGGTAGGTTGAATATTGGTATTTTTAAATCTAGTTATATTATTTAAACTAATAGAATTAGAATTATTATTCTTATCATTAGTATTAATTACATTGGGATTAGAGTAGGATTTAATAAAATTATTATTATTCTTATTATACTTGCTAATAACATTATTATTATTAATATAATTATGGTTACTAACTATATTTATTTTTTTGTTAGAGTCAGATTTATTATTTTTATTGTTATTATTAGACCTAAGATTAAAGTAAAAAATTCGCCGCCGAACTACTCTCGTCGGAGACAAAGGAGTGTTAGAAAGGCTTAAGAGAAAGTCTCTAGAATAAGACATAATAATATTTTCAAGTTAAGGAAAAGATGTTGAAAGATATTGAAAAAAATAGTCATAGTAAAAAAGAAGAGAACTCACTTGTTCAGAAGCAGAAAACAAGAATCCACCCAAATTAAAAAACCACCGAGAAAACGTGCCGCCATCACGCTAAAAGTAAACCAATTTACACGTATATGTGCGTCTATGTATACATAATATGCTTTTATACATATAAAAATATATATAAATACAAATACACAGACACACACATACAGACACACACACTCACACACAAAATTTATATAGAAACATAGATAGAGTACTTACTGTCAATGTTAATGTTTTTAGTTTTTTGTGTTTATTATTTAAAAGTGCACCTTAAATGTCAAATAAATGCTTATTTGCAGTATATTATTAGTTATTATAATTATATTATATGTATTATAAGAGATTTGAAAAAATGCACCTATTTATTAGATTATAAAATTCATGAATAAATTATAATTATACATATAGTATCTATATACCATGATCACTAGTAGTAAACAGTAAAAATAATCATTTGAATTTTAAATCAATTGTTATTTACTTTTTACTTATTTAGTATTTATTTATTTAATTATTTATTTATTTAATAATAATATTTTTATTTATACTTATTAATAATGATTACCAGCATAACGTTCAAAATAAACCACAAACAAATCATAAAAGTAGAATAAAAAGTATGTTTATTTTATTTTATCTTACATGCTGGATTATTAATTATTTAATTATAATTAATTATTTCATTTAATATTTAAAAATACTTTTTTTTGAATAAATAATATATAGATAAATAAAAAACGATTATTTTAAGGTTTAATTTAAATGTTCATCTAAACTAAATTAAAAGGAGAGGTAATTATTTTAATAGTAAAATAAAAATTTCCTAAAGACAAACAGACACCCAGAGATGTTTTCAGTGCGTATTGTAACAACTGACCACCACATGGTCGATCCTGTGCCAGGCTTGGACTTGACCTATTCAGAATTTAGGAAACAGCCTGTCTACAAAGTCCCGGTCATTAATATTTTTGGGGCTACGCCCTCTGGTCAGATTTTTACTTTTTTTTGATCATTATTTTGGTTTTTCTTTGCTTGTTTTGATGAAAATTGTTTTAAATGCATATTTTTTAATTGCTGATTACTTTTTAAATGAATAATAATATTCATGAAATATTTACATTTTTTAAAAATATTAATATTTTACTAAAACTCACCTCTAATTGTTAGGTCAGAAAACATGTTTATCGATACATGGGGTATTTCCTTACTTGTATGTACCAGTTGACAAAGGTTTCGTACCGTCTGACACTCAGCTGTTGTTGCTGGCAGGCAGTATCGATCGGGCTCTGAATATGGCTCTCGGTAGATCGGCCTCGACTGCACAGCATGTCTTCAAGATCATTCCTGTATCTGGCATGTCAGATATCCACATTTGTATTTTTTATTTTTGTGTTAATGATATTTTGTTTGTGGTTATTTTTATTATATTATTATTATTATTGTTGTTATTGCTGTCTTTGTTATATTGCTGCTGTCTTAATTACCAACTTGCTACCAAAATTAGCACTGTTAACAATGATTTATATAGTGATTAGTGATAAACATGTGTCTAGAATATACCATGAGAATAACAATAAATATTATTATTGTAGTTATTATTATTATTATTATTTGATGGAGAGAGCAGGTGGAGAAGGACAGGGTGAAAGCGGGGTTGCGTGATACTGAGGCGAGTGACAGATGTGGATGGCGTCGAGGGGTATTTCGGTTTCATCCTAGGTAGCCAAACGGCAACCCCCGATCTCGGGGAAAATGTCGTCTAAACGTGTGTTGTTGTTGTATTATTATTATTATTTATTATTATTTTTTTTTGTCCAGACCTTTCTACGGCTATCATGCCAGGGAGCAGACGTTCCTGAAAATTTTTCTCTACAATCCAAAGATGATTAAAAAGTTCATTAAATTTTATTTTCTTTTCAAATTATGATAAATAATTATTTCTAATTAATTAATTATTGTTAATTAAATTACTTCATGCTAAGTTTTATCATTTATGCTAATTTATTAAACTATAATTTATGCAAATTTATTCAACTCTTGCAGGGTAGCTGATTTATTATTGGCCGGTGCAGTTATGAATAGAACATTTCAGCCACACGAGACGCACGTTCCTTATAACCTCCAGGTTTTTATTCTGTGTTTTATCTTTGGGCTCCATTTCATATTTTTTTAATTTTTTTATTTTATGTATGATTTTATTTTATCGCATTTTATTTAAATATTTAAAAAAAATTTTAATCTATTTAATGTAATTCATTGAATGAAAAAATCTCTTGGTATACACATAGAATACACATTCATCATCAGACCACTTCACCACCATCAGTCATTATTATTATTGTCATTATTATTATTATTATTATTACGAGAAGATGAGAGGATCTTACATTATATTTTGCTTCTTATTTATTTACACTCTGATTGATTGATTAATTGCATAAAGTTTGTATGAAACTGAAGACAGTACGGTAAACAAAAGAAAAAACAAAAAAAAGATGAAACATCAAGGGAGATTGAGAGGAGAGAGAGAGAGAGAGAGAGAGAGAGAGAGAGAGAGAGAAAGAGATAATTAATAATTTTTGATTGATTTCATTTGGATTTTATCTTTTCAGTCAATAAAAGAACGTTCCCATTATTATTATCATTATTATTATTATTATTATTATTATTATTATTATTATTATTAATTATTATTGGCAGATGTTTATAGATTACAATTTGTTTGGGATGAATTTTATAAATCTTTCGGCGGTAAAGTTCAGACGACCTTTGCCTACGTCAGCAGCTTGTAAAATATTGAGTGTATCTGAGGATTGTGATTCTGTCGTCATGTGGACGGTTGAGAGCGTCAGAAGGTGGTAGAAATGATTTGGTCATTATTGTTATTGTTTATTATTTATATCGATTATATTGTTTAATCTGATTGAATGATTAATTAATCGATCGATCTATTAAATCTTGAATGAATGAATGAATGAATGATTGAATGAATGGTTGAATAAGTATTAAAGATTGAATGCATTTGATTGACTGAATCGAATGACTGACTGACTGACTGACTGACTGACCAACTGGTCGATAGACTGACCGACTGGCTGATTGGTTGAATAACTGGTTTGGTTAATTGAACGACAGCGACTCCATACTTCAAGAACCCCGAAGAACCACATGTGAATTGGAAGCTGATGGCTTGGCCGTCGACATTCTTAACCTCCAGCAAGCTTCCAACTGTCTGATCTTAATAACTTTCATTCGAAAAAATTATTTTTTTTTATTTGTTTTCTTGATATTTTCATTTATTGCAGTTACTAGTTTTTAATTAAACTGAATATTTAGGTTCATTTAATTTGTTCGCTGTTGTAAAAAGTATGTTTTAAGAACTGTTTATGTACATTTATAAGTTATTTACCTTGAAAAGTTAAACTTAGTTCTAGATGGAGCTTGGAAAGCAATAAATTATTTGCGTTTTATAAGTCAACTAACCATACAATTAATCAATCATTTTTTCAATCAATTAATGTTAATCAATCAATCGATCAATCAAATAATCAATCCAATAATCAATCAATCAACCAACCAATCAATCAACCAACCAATCAATCATTCATTCATTCAATATTTCAATCAGATGAAAAATTAATCATTTAATCAACCAACTGATTGATCAATCAACTGCCCAATCAACCAACCAACCAATCAGCTTCGGGAAATCCTGGCTTATTGGCAATGTGGGAGGAAGAGAGAATGAGATTCAATAGATTGAACGTCAATCAAACGTTGACTCCACCCCTTTCACCTGGTCGATACATTTTTCTTTTTTATTCATATCACATTCAAATTCAATTTAACGGAAGAACTAAGACTTTTGAATAGATTTAGACCGTAGATCAAAAATAATGTATAGATTACATCGACCTAATTTTAACGAAAAACAGAAAGAAAGCCGAAGCTGATTGAGGCGGAAGAGATTTTGAAATCAGATTTCGAACTGCTCATCAAGGAATCCACTGAAGATGAGGAAGTTGAAGATGCAATGAAATCAGATGACGGTGAAACATCGACACCATCTACGAATGAATCCATGAATGGTTCTTTGTGGGGTTCCTCTTTCAATCCGGACGATTTCATTGGTTTGTTTGTAACGTGCTATTTAAAAAAAATATTTATTCACTTTTAAACACTCACACTCCATGCAGTTACAGTTAAGTACTTCGTTTTCTCGTAACTTACAGGAAAATGTTTTCAACAAATATCTTTTAAGTTAATTTTTAAAAAAAAGTTGTTGTTGATAAAATAATTTGATTGGTTGACGGATTAGCTCTACAATAATAATAATAAATAATAATAATAAAAATAATACTTAGTTACTAATTATAATTAATAATATTATAAGTTGAAATTCGGATACAAATGCACGTGAACAGACTTGAATGAGACCATAGTGAGTGAAGACGTCGTGTGCAGCGTCGTAAGCAACAGCGAGAATTTCATCAAAGACACTAATGATGGTTTGTTCGTTCGTTTGTTCGTTTGTTTGTTCGTTCGTTCGTTCGTTCGTTCGTTCGTTTGTTTATTTCAGGTACTGGTGACGAACATCCCGCAAAGCTCCCTCTAATTTTTATTATTTTACGGTTTAAAAGGAGTTTATTATTAAACAATTTCTTTGTAAATCTGAGTAGTTCTTGGTTTAGATCCTAAAAAATTACAGAGTAAGGATAAAATTCTAAATGTGGGAGCATAAAATTGAACTGAAAACAGCTAACCAAAGGAAGTGGAATAAGCTTCACGGCGAATTCTTCACCAACAATGCTATTCGTTGTTTTTAACTAAGTATTGAATTAAATTTTTTTTTAAATTACGATTAAAATTAAAAAAAAAAAAATTCTATAATTTTGAAATTTTGTCTACATTTTCATCAACCATCCAGTCGACCAATCATTTATTGATTTGCTCTTGTCACTGGCCAATAGCAATTCCCAATCCACGAACGCTCAACCATCTCAGCCAATGAGAAAGCTCGCTGAAATGGAAGACTGCGATTCGCCGTTATCACAGTGCACGCCTAAGCGTAGAGGCCTGTTAAGTTTTTTAATGATTGAAAACAATCAATCAATCAATCAATCAATCAATCAATCAACCAACCAATCAATCGATCGATCGATCAATCAATCAATCTATTGATCAATCAATTAATCAAGCAATCAATCAATCCATCCATCGATTGATCAATCAATCAATTTGGAGATTATTCAAAAATTGTAAAAAAAATATAATTTTACAACGAAAACATTTAAAAACGTTTCTTAATTTTTTTTTTTAAATAAATTTCAGATTATAAAGTTTTCGCTTCTCAAAAAATATCGTCTGGTAATAATAATAATAATAATAATAATAATAATAATAATAATAATAATAATAATAACAACAACAATAGTTATATTGGCAGTGCTATATTTACCAATAAATGCGCTGACGATGATGACGACGACGACGATGATGATGACGTCATAACTAATTTAGAAATGTCTCAATGTTTTGATGAGGAAACTGAAAGGTGTAATTGAATGAATGAACGAATGAACGAACGAATGAACGAATGAATGAATGAATGAATGAACGAATGAATGAACGAATGAACGAACGAATGAATGAATAAATGAATGAACGAATGAATGAACGAATGAACGAACGAATGAATGAACGAACGAATGAATAAATTTGATGAAAAGAATGATGACGATGATGATCAACCAATAAATACGAAACATATAACATTGTCTTGTATGCTGCAGGTTACTCGTCAGCTTAGTAGAAAGAAGTAGTAGTGATAATAAAAATACTACTACCACTACTACTACTACTACTACTACCGCCATTACTACTACTACTACCACTATTACTACTACTACTAATAATAATAATAACAACAAAGATGACAACGACAATAATAATAATAATAAAGATAATAATAATGATAATAATAATAATGATAATAATAATAACAATATTGATGATAACGATGTTAATAATAAGTGCAAAAGAAGACGGTTATTAGGTATGAATAAAAGTGTGAAGAGGCAGTTCTCTACCATGTCATCACCATTGTCATTCGCGCCATCATCATCATCATTTTCATCACCAAGACAACCAGCATCATCATCATTGACGTCATCATCATCGGCATCATCATCATCGACATCATTATCAACAACAACAACAACAACATCATCATTGACATCATCATCATTATTGACATCATTACCAACAATAACATCATTAGCTACGTCATCAACATCATCATCATCATCATCATCAGTAGCAGCATTATTCTCGTTGTACTCATCATCATCGTCGTCGTCGTCATCGCCGTCAATTGACGTTTTAGAAAAACTAGCCTTCATATCACCATGGTCACCACCTCGGATAACGTCACCACCATCACCACCCAATCCCCATCTAAGTCCCACGACTTTATTCAGTCCATCGTCACCACTTCAGCCACCACGATCATCATCATCATCATCATCACAACCATTACCTTCATCATCATCGTCATCATCGCGGATATCATCATCACCGCTATTATTTTTCGATGATGATGGTGATGATGATGAGGAGGATGAGAATGATGATACTATAAAAGTTCATAGTGGTAAAAATAAAATAACTGCCCGCTACGCTGCTGCTACTACTACTACTTCTACTACTACTTCTACTACTACTTCTACTACTACTACTACTACTACTACTACTACTACTACTACTACTATTACTACTAGAAATCCTTCTCGTAAGGCATTTACTAGCAGTGGATTTAGTACAAGCAGTAACAACAAAACTTTTAAACTTACTGAAAAATCATCAACAACATCTGGAGATAGCTATATGATATGTGATATCTACAGTGATAACGATGATGATGGTAATGCTACTGCTGCTACTACTACTACTACTATTACTACTACTACTACTACTACTACTACTACTGTTGCTGCTGCTACTACTACTACTACTACTACTAATAATAATAATAGTAGTAGTAATAATAATAATAATATTAATAACAAGATAGCAAAGGGTATTAATAGCTCAAGAGTTACTTCTAGGAAGAGAATATCTTACACTCGTCTGAAACATCACATACGAAATAACGATACAACAACGACAACAACAGCAACAACAACAACGACAGCAACAACGACAGCAGCAACAACAATAGTGGACATCAAAAGTAAATTAGGTACAGCGTCAACTGTTAATCATGATACCACTGGAACTGATACAATCGCTGTTACAAGTACTGATACAAATGATAATTTTAAAGATACGTATGATACCATCAGAGATACAAATGATACCTTTAAAGATACATATGATATCTTTAAAGATACAAATGATACCTTTAAAGATACAAACGATACCTTTAAAAGTACAGGTATTTTGTCTAGAAATAAAAAGACGTTAAAAAATATCATTAAGAATACAGAAAAATACGTGTTATTAAGGCCGAAGTACGCTGCTCCGTCGTTCGAATACGTACAGCAGAGCGGTATTATGCGAACAATTGATTGTATCAATGATTGTATCACAGGGAGAGATGTTAACGTGTGCAATGCTAAGAGTATCGTCGATAAGAAATTGTGAGTATGCTGATGGGGATTGTAGCTGGTTGGTTGGCTGGTCGTTTGATTGATTTGTTTGTTTGTTCAACATCTCGACTATGTATTCTATTCTATCATTCATTCATTCGTTCATTCATTCATTTATTCATTCGTTCGTTCGTTCATTCGTTCGTTTGTTTGTTCGTTCGTTCGTTTGTTCGTTCATTCATTTATTTATTTATTCGTTTTATTTACATCGTAAAACATTTCATTTTAATTTTTTTTAAATTTTCAAGAGTCAAATTGAGATCAAGAGACCAACTCACTTTTCAGACTGCTCTTGTGGGTTATCCTTTAGTTAACGCCATTCATTACACCGCTATAACACACACACACCACACACACACACACACACCACACACACACACACACACACGCGAGGTTTTAAAAATTTGCTAAATGTTGTTTTTTATTTGTTTCGTTTGTATTAGTCTTACAGTCGTCGTCGTCATTATTATTATTATTATCATCACGACCTTCTTTATCATCTTCGTCTTCATCGTCATCATCTTCATCGTTATCATCTTCATCACCATCATCATCATCATTATTGATCGCACGCAGACAAAATATTTGCCTGAGTTCAAAGGGTCAATGAATAATTGCTTTCATGATGTGATGATGAAAAATTATGCCTCTCTACAACAAAACAACAACAAAAACATCAACAACAGTTACGTCAACAACAACAACAACAACGGTGTGCTATTTAATAGTGTCGCTTCATGTTTAGACGACAATATTGAGATTATTTTGGTGCCTCATAGAAAACCGCCGAAGTACAGTGATGTCAGCAGCGTCAGAAGTCGCTACAGCGGCAGCAGCAGCAACAACAAAAATGATAAAAATAGCAGTAGAATGAAAAACGACGATATTATTGCCAACAGAAATACTAAAGACATCAAGTCAAACAAAAGCAATAACATCCACCTTACTAGCAACATCGACCTTGGCGTCATCAACAAAAACATCAACTACAACTACATTAACAACAACATTAACAAGTACAACGACTCAAGCCCAAACGACTCCAGTTTTGGAAGTACAACGGGAAAATTTAATTCAACAAATTGTTCCTTGCTCTCTGAAACTTTCTCAACACCAAAAAGCATTTTGAAGAAAAGACCTCTTGTGGAAAGTACGCCATGTTTGTTGCGCAGCAACAATAACTACAACATAAACGTCATCAGCAACAGTAGCCGCGTTAGTAGCGTCTTCAACGACGACGACACTTTCTTAGATAACACAAACCACGCACCAAGCATTGACTCCATTTTGGAAGAACTGGATATCGATCTTTCACTGGTTATCCCACAAACACCTGATTCATCGCCGACAAACTTATCAACAGAAATGCATTCTACAACATTAACGCCAACATCAACGCCAACAACAACATTAGAACAACAAGTGACATCAACATCATTTACACCGACACAAACATTAACAATGCCGATGACAACAACAAAAACAACAACGGCAACATCAGTACTGCAGACGTCAACATCGGCAACAACAACTTCAACAACAACTCCAACAACAACTCCAACAACAACAAATCCAACGACTGCGAAACGTAGAAAAGTCACCTTCATTGAAACTCCAAAAAAGGATCGCCTTTCATCCAGTACACCTTACACGAAACTAACAGGTCGTATGAAGCTAGGTAAAAATTTCAACTTGACACCCATTAAGAAATGGAACGACGTGACATCTGCTCATAATAATAATAATAATAATAATAATAATAATAATAATAATAATAATAATAATAATAATAATAATAATATAAACATTAACATTTTTGCTAATTTTAAAAGCGGTAACACTAATCGACCTAGTAACAACAATAATGGCATCAACAATTTCTCCACTTACAACTGCAACAACAACAGCAACAACAACGAAAATAGCGACAGTAAATTTAGTCTTAGCAACAAAAACAGCACAATCGACGATACCGTTCTCAACAACTCTAATGATTGTACTATCACTAGCAAGAGTGACTACAACAAGACTATCAACAACGATTCTGTAAATGTTAACAGTATTTTTTCAACAACTACAACAACGGCAGCAGCAGCAGCAGCAACGACAATAGCGACAAAATCGACAACAGCGAAACGTCAAAGTATCGAATCTCAGATCGAGACAGCCACACCTACCAACACGTTCAACTTCAAAGTGGATTCGCAGAACTTTCAAAAAGTTAAGGAGGCTACGGAACAGGTCTGTTTTATCTCATTCGTTCGTTCGTTCGTTCGTTCGTTCGTTCGTACGTTCGTTCGTTCGTTCGTTCGTTTGTACATTTGTACATCTATTTAGTTGCTCCTTCGTTCGTTAATTAATATTTTTACTCATCTATTCAAATGTTCAGTCATTCCTTTGTTCGTTCATTCATTTATTAAATTATCAAATATTGAAAATTTTATATCTTGAATATGTCAATAATTCATACAGCCATACTTCGATTTTTACATTTTTTTGCTTACATAGATAAATAGTTTCAATTTTGAAAAGCATTCTAAAAGTTCATTTCTCCATCGACTAACCTAATAATGCATCAATTTATTTACAAATCAATCAAACAATCAATCAAATAATCAATCAAATAATCAATCAGTCAAATAACCAATAAATTAAATGATCAATGAATCAATTAATTAACTTATAACAATGACCACAGAACCAGCACCTAACAACAATCAGTCTTGAACTTCACGTGAACACACGAGGTCACATGAACCCTGACCCCGAGTGTGACCCCATCGTAGCCATCTTCTACTGCCTTCACGACGACGACGACGATTATGATAATGATGATGATGATGATGAGAATGAGAATAGTTATGAAGATGTTAGAATCGATGATGATCGTGATATTGTTGAATATGATGATGACGACGAAGACGACGATGATGACGACGATGATGACGATACAAAAAATAGAAGAAGTAAAAAAATGAGTTTAAATGATGAAAAAGCATGTAAAAAAGCTTCCCACAAAACAGAAACAGCCAACAACAACAACAGCAACAACAACAACAACAACAATAATAATAATAATAACAAATCAGAAAAGTATAAGCATGGCGTATATTTACTTTCATCCTCATCGTCATCAACATCTATAACATCAACGACAGCGGTATCTATTATTACTACCGCAGTTTTCAATCAAAATACTTTGGCTACTACTACTGCTGCTGATACTACTACTACTGCTACTACCACCACTACTGCTACCACTACTGCTACTACTACTGCTACTACCACTACTGCTACTGCAGCAGCTGCTGGTACTACCACTACTACTAGTAATAATATTATTGCTACTACTATTACTACTACCGCTGCTATTCCTGAAACAAATACTAACTTTACTTCTAATAAAGTTACCAATAGAAACAATATTATTAATACTAGTACTTCTACTACTACTACTACCTCTGCTGCTGCTGCTGTTGTTGCTACTACATCTACTGCCGCTACTACTACTACTACGTCTACCACAAATCAGCTACTAAAAGCAGATTTAAACGAGTTAAGTAATTTAATGTACCACCATCATGCGACAGTCACATTTCTACAAACAGAGATCGACCTAATTACGACGGTCGTTGACCTTGTTAAAAAGTAGGTCGGGTCAAATATATATATATATATATATATATATATATGTGTGTGTGTGTGTGTGTGTGTGTGTGATGACTTTTGTGCTTTTGTTTGTGTTTTCATTGCGTTGTTATTATTGCTACCACCTATACTAACAATATAATTCGATACTAACAACTCTAACTTTTTAATTATAATTATTGATATGGTTATAATAGTTATTATAGTTATAATTATCTAATTATTATAGTTATAGTTATCATCATTACTATTATCACCACCACCACCACCACCATCGTGTTAGACACGACGCAGATATCTTGGTTGGCTTCGAGGTGAAGACACTTTCATGGGGTTACCTGGTTCAGAGGGCAGCCCAACTTAATATCAACCTACCCAATCAGCTCTCGAGATTTGTTGGTCGGTTGATTTGCTGATTGGCCGGTTGGCTGGTTGGTTTGGTAATTGATTGGTTTGCTGGTTGATGGATTGGTTTTTTGCAGTTAATATTTTTTCTCTAAAATTTATTTTATCTTTCACTTTTAAGAAAAGTTCATTAATCTCTACAGAGCAAACAGATCACCATAAAAGCAGTAAACAACAAAACAGCATCAATAATGACGTCATCGTCAACAACAACAACAACAATATCAACAACAAAAATTACGACGGCGACGATGAAGATATTTTTGGTGATGTTAAAATCCCAGGAAGAATTGTTCTTAATTTGTGGAAAATTTTAAAACACGAGGTAGAGTTGTACTACTTGCATCCAATAACATACAAACAACTACACACAACACACACACGCACACACACACATACATACACACACATACACACACACAACGAACGGCACATGCACTGAATTTTATATTATGTCATATTTTTAGTTTCATTTAAAATTCATTTCGTTATTTTTTTCTCCCAATCCGCCAGATAGCATTAAACATTTACACATTCGAGAACTTGGCCTTCCATGTGCTACACAGGCGCTACCCTCACTTCTCACATCACACTCTCACCAACTGGTTTCAGGGAAAAGCCCGTTTCAATAGGTCTGGTGGTTGTACCATTTTGTGGGTATTAAGTAATAACACTTACCACCGTGCGATAAGTGGTAGCAATAAGTGGTCTTATTCATCATTACTCGCTCACTCACTCACTCACTCACCCACTCACTCACTCGCTCGCTCACTCACTCACTCACTCACTCACTCACTCTTTTTCTCACTCACTCACTCACTCTTTTTCTCACTCATTCACTCATAGGTGGAAAACCCTGGACTACTATACAGTACGCAGTTTGGGCAACTTGCAAATCATGGAAAAGTTGAACATCATCGATCAGACGAGTGAATTCGCCAGGATATATGGCATTGAATTTTTCAACGTTCTAAACAGAGGCTCGCAAGTAAACTTTGTTTATTATATTTATTATTATTATGTTATTATTATTATGCTATTATTATTATATTATTATGTTATTATTATTATTATATTATTATGTTATTATTATATTATATTATGTTATCATTATTATTTTGTTTATTATATTAATTATTATTATATTATGTTATTATTGCAATTATATTATGTTATTATTACTATTATATTATGTTATTATTATTATTATTATATTATTATGTTATTTATTCATTGGAAACATCAGTACAGAGTTGAGTCGATGATGTTGAGACTGGCGAAGCCGAAGAACTTCATTGCAGTCTCACCTGGAATCCACCAGAGAGCCGGTATGAAGTCGATGGAATGCATACCGCTCAACCTCGAACCGAGATCCGATTTCTATACCGACCCGGTTGTCGTTCTCGATTTTCAGTCGCTCTATCCATCGATCATGATTGCGCATAACTACTGCTTTTCCACTTGCCTCGGTCGGATAAAATCGATCGCGAATTGTCGGTAAGCTTTTGCCGGTTTTTAGGGATGTGACTCTTTTATAGTTGTTGTATATCACCGATCATTCATTCATGTTGTTAATGTTGTTGTAGATTTGTTGTTATGTTGGTGAAGTTGTTAGGGATGTAATGTTTTTTTTTTGTTTTTGAACCGTTTTTATTGATAAACAATGTGTTGTCATTCGAAATAGGGATGGGCCGTTTGAATTCGGATGCACATCTCTTTACATACCGAAACATGTCTTGAAGGTTAGAGCGGTGGATTGCTTCATTTAGTTGAGTTATTTGAGTGTTTACCGAGTATTTCTTGTTGTTAGTTCGTTACAGAACTAATAAGTTGTTGTATAAGAACGACGATGATAATGATGCTTATGATGACGACGATGATGATGATGACGACGACTATGATAATAATGATGATGATATTAATGATAATAATATAGATGAGGATGATAATGATGATGATTACGTAGTTGATGATGATGATGATGTAGATGAGGGTAATGATGATGATTTAATTTTTTTTTAGAGCCTCAAGTACGATGACATAAACGTTTGTAGCAATGGCGTCGCCTTTGTAAAGCCGCACATCAGAAAAGGAATCATTTCTCAGTCAGTATTGCAAATTGGATATTTTTTGTATTTGTTTGTTTATTTGTTTGTTGGTTTGTTTATTCACTTATTCATTCGTTCGTTTATCCATTGATTCATTCGTTCGCTCGTTTATTCATTCATTCATTCATTTATTCATTCATTCATACGGATAAGTCTTTCTTATTATTTTCATAGGATTAATTATAAATGAGATTAAATCATGAATTAATAAGCTATTGTTTATTGCGATTGTTAGAATGGTAGAAGAGATACTGAACACGAGGGTCATGGTCAAAAAAGCCATGAAAGTCCACAAAAATGACAAAGTGATTGTTTGTTAAAAAAAATGATAATTTTCACTTCAATTAATTAGATAAGTGACTATTAATTAGCCAATAAATTTGCTAATTAATAATTTTGAAATATTTTTTCGATTATTTATATTATAATAAAAATAGAATAGAATATAATAAATGTAACAATCAAAAAAAACACACACACACACACACACACACACACACTCACACATACATAAACACACAAACACTCACACACAAATAGACAGACAAACAAGCTAAAACATACACACATATAAGGGTCTACAAAGAACCTTACATGCCAGGCAGTTAGGGCTGAAGTTGATAGCTAATGTCACTTTTGGATATACTGCGGCCAGTTTCTCCGGGCGGATGGCCTGTGTTGAGGTGAGAAAGAAGTTTTGCTTTGTGAGATTTTTGGTATTCTTTGAAGTAAATACGCAATTTTGAATGTGTAAGTTTCAGATTTGAAAATTATAAAGTCAAATAAATTCATTCCTTAGTCCATGAGAAGGATTAATAGAACAAAATCAATGTTTCCAAATTCTATTGTAGTCATTTGCGATTTTTCATTATCTTAACAATATGTGTAGTTTAGAGATTGATGATAAATAGAGTTAGTAGTAACCTTTTAGTACTTTTAATTACTGATAATATGATAATTAATTCATCACTGATGACAATAACTTGCCTTGATACCCACCAAAATCGCCAGCTCGGAGACAGCATTGTGAGGAAGGCCAGGGACACTTTGGAACAAGCGATACGATTGGTCGAACAAACTGAAAAGTGGGCGGCGCAAGTTATTTATGGCGATACCGATAGGTCAGTTGAATTTTGGTGACATTAATTTTTTTTTATAGTGTCACTGACGATATGCTACCTAATGTAATGTCATTTCTCATTTCTAACGATAGACGCTCACAGCTTAATGCACATTTTTTTTCTATAATATGATGGATTCTCTTTGAAATAGAATCCGGTCAAGAATCAGATGTCTTTACCCATTACATGCTCTTAAATGCAACAAATGCTTAAAATTTGTTCGTACTTGAATGAGATTTTTTTAAAAGAAGCTTTCGTTTGATTGTGTGTTGTATCATTAAAGATGATGATGATATGAATGAATGACGAGTAACGATAATAATAATAATAATGATGATGATGATATATCATTGCGATAGATTTGGTTTACAAGATTAAATAAACTCATCTGCAATGAGTTGACTTTATGTTTTTTGTTGATGGAATGTAACGAAACGAAACGAAACATTCTACGAAGCATGTTCGTACTGCTGAGGGGCAGGACGAGGCAGCAAGCGTTCGTCGTCGGTCAGGAAATCGCCGACGCCGTCACTAACAGCAATCCCAAGCCTGTCACTTTGAAACTTGAAAAGGTTCTTCATTTGTTTCTTTCATGTTATGTTCAATGGAAATTTTAATTCGTGAAATAATTTTTCATTTATCAAAAGTTAATTTTCGCGGTTTTGAAGTTAATAAGTAAAGCAGGCGGTATGAGTGCCGTATCAGTTGGGACCGTTCTATCTGTTCGCCTGCTTTTATTGTGTAGTTTTATGACAGAAAAAGTTGTTTTAATAAAATTAAATTAATGCGATTTGTCGGAGATCTAAAAGTAACGTGAATACGAAAGTATGAATTTGAAAACGTAACGAAACCATGTAAGATGTACATGCCGTGTGTGCTGCAGACGAAGAAGAGGTACGTCGGCTTCATGTACGAGACACCAGACCAGCAGGAGCCGACATTCCACGCCAAGGGTATCGAAACTGTCAGGAGAGATAATTGCCCCGCTGTTTCCAAGGTTCATCCAATTTCTATCGCGTCCTAATGTTAAACCAAACCTCTGTTTTTCATATGTGGCATGTAGTAGTAGCTGGTGTGATTTTATAATTTGGTTTTTACTTGGCGAATTTTGGAGATGGTTATTTCCTTAAATTTCCAAGTTGTTTTGCTTGAATCGATTGAGTTTTTATTGAATTAATTCATTCACTCATTCGTTCATTCACTCATTCACTCATTCATGCATTCATTCATTCATTCATTCAATGGCTTATAGATTTTGGAGAGATCGCTGAAAACATTGTTCACATCGTGCGACATATCATTGGTGAAGAAGTATGTTCAGAGGCAGTGCATCAAGATTCTGGAGGAGAGAACGCCGTTGAAGGACTTCATATTCGCCAAGGAGTACCGGGGCATGGCTGGCTACCAGCCAACTGCTTGCATACCCGCTCTTGAAATTGCCAGGTACATTCCATTCCTCAAGCATTTGTCATTTTAATAAGTTCATTCCGTGAAAGTTAATTTATATTTTTGTAAATTACTTCAAGACGGCGGCTGGCGAGAGATCGTCGGTCAGAACCTTTGGTGGGTCAAAGAGTACCCTACGTCATCATCTTCGGTTCTCCGGGTCTGCCACTTATCAAATTAGTCAGGGAACCAGGTGAACTATTGAGCAACTCCAACCTTCGTATCAACTACACTTATTATCTCATGAAACAGATTCTCCCACCCATCAACCGATTCGCCATGTTGTTTGGCCTGGATGCTTTTCACTGGTACGATGGATTGCCACGCGTTCTTAAAGTCAACTCTCGAATTTTCAATCCCGCCCTTGCTATTACATCAAGAAACAACCAAGTGAACGATCATTTCAAACACAGCCCGGTTAAAAGTAGCAAACTAGTTAATGAAAATCTTACAAAGTATTTTACGTCTGTCGACTGTCCGATCTGTGGTCAGCTAACAAATGCCGGCATGTGCGAACTCTGCAAAACTGACGATCGGAGGCGCGTTCTAATATCGTCCTGTCGCATCAGGAAGGTACAAGCTAGACAGAACTGCGTTAATCAAGTCGGTCTTCAAGTGAAATTTTTTTTTTTGAAGTGATAACATTTTATATAGGTAGTAACGTAGCTTATTTAACGTTGTCAATTGTTCGGTTATTGCCTTATGTTAATATAAATTGTACTGCAGATTTGTAACACATGCAAGGGATGGATAGACGCCAAGAATTCCTGTGATTCACTTGATTGTCCTATCCTATACAAGGACCACAGACTGAACTCTGAAGCTTTTTGCCTGGATGCCTTGTTCAAAGTTTTAGATTTAGAGTTTTAAACAGCTGGTTGAATAATATGTTACTGACATATCACATACGACTATATCTGAACATTATTTTTATATTTAACTATTAAATTTGCAAAAAATGCCTGTAGTTTTTGATTGTGTTACTGATGATTTATGATAATTTTTTAACTTATTAATATTGTTTCTTTGCTAAATTTAATCTAAATTTTATATTTCAAGTTTTGTTTTTTGATATTCGTCTATTCTGTAGAGTAGAGTATTTATTTAAATGATGTGATTCCTGATGTTTGTTCTCTCTTTAATTGATACATTTCAATTCAAATGTTGCATGCTTACGTGAGATTGTCTTTGTAAAATAAAGTCTTGTAAAAAATATTGTATGAATTTCTTTGGGACAAATGAAGTTGCGTGTTACAAATTTTGTAGTGTTTACTCATTTAAATTGATGTAGAGATGTCTTAACAATCTAGGATTGGTTGAAACTCTTGAACGTTTTACTTATGCTTTCTTTCATAGCTTATTTCTCAAGATGTAAAGTAATAAAAATTGTCTCCAGTCACTTGTTTTACAGTAGATGTTTAGGTGCTGGTCCGAAATAAGCGTTCCAGTCAAGCAATATGCAATTATATGTAACAATTTCATTATATATATATATATATATATATATATATATATATATATATATAACCTGTGTAACGTGTTTAGCGAAGCAAACATCTTTCGTGTCAGTCAGCAGAATCAGGTGGCGTTCCATCGTGTTTAGTTTTTTGTCTTGATCTTGTTGTCAATACCGAATCGATATATTTAAAAAATGTTAAAATCTTCTTGAAGAAGTTGCCTATTGTACCGTTTTTCGTGTGTATTTTTTCTGATTTATTATTTAGTTGACATTCAGACGGCTAATCAGTTGCAGCGGGAATGAGTTCTAAGCGAGCAGGCGAACAATCGTCGGCTTCCAACTCCGGATCGCCACCGGCCAAGAAGGCAATGACCCAACTGAAGCCGATCGAAATTGGACCCGTCCGATCTCTGGTCAGTCTGAGTTTTTTTTCTTTATTTTTGTTGAAACATTTTCAAATTATAAAAAATTTTAAATGGAATTTAAATTCTATAGGAGGACATGGACATCAAGGTGTTGCAATTTCAAAATAAGAAGTTAGTGGAGAGAATTGATCAGCGGCGGAAACATGAAGAGGAGCTGAAGAGAAGAATCGAACAGCTGGAGCAGAGGCAGGCCACCGATGATGCAGTTCTCTGTATTGTTAATCGATATTGGAACCAGGTCACTACCAATTTGTTCTTTATTTTTTTTAGAAAAAGGTTCATTGACATTTAAAAAATGTCACTTTATACATTTTTCAATATGAAATTATCTTTAATCTATTACTAACGGTGTCTTATAAAGATAAAGAAACCAGTTAAAATTGTGTAAACTTTAAACAAATGTTCATTTTCTTATATGTAGCCATCTGTAAAATTGAATCTGATTTATTTATTTTATTATTTTAGCTTGATGAAGATGTTCGAGTTCTACTGCAGAGGTTTGATGCTGAGGGAGTGGATGAAGATGAAAAAGAAAGTAATATGTCTATTTATTTATTTCTTTTTCCTGCCCATTCCTTTTCTGTCCATTCTTGCATTCATTTATTCATATTTTCATTCATTCAATCAATCATTCATACATTCATTCATTCATTTTTATTCGTTCATGTATTCATTCATTCATTTTTTTTATTCGTTCATTCAGACGAGAGTTCAGCTGTGACATCATTCCTAACCTTGCTGTCCCAGTGGGACAGACAGGAGATTGAGGACAAGTTGAGCCAGAGAGTGGAGTTTTCTGAGAGGGCCATTGGCAAGTTGTTGCAGGCATACGACAGGCTTCTGCAAAGAAAGGAAAAAATTTGGCAGATTGTTAAGAATAAAAATGATTCTGGTTAATTTTTATTTTTTATTCTTTGGTAATGTTTGATAAACATAATTGCTATTAAAAATTAAAATAAAAATTATTACAAATCATGTTAATTTATTATTTATTATGCAGTACTATCAAAGGATGAATTGGATGAACCTACGTCAGCGACATCGTCTTCTGGATCAACAATATCAACATTAAAAAATACAGATGCAGACCCAGACAGCATTTCAGACAACAAGTCTGCGGACAAGAGCAACAAAGACACTGCCATGAAAATTGAGTCAGACATAAAGAATGAAGCAGATAGTACTCTAACTAAATCAGACAATCCAACTGCTACTACTGACGCTGATAACAAAAACTCTGAAAGTGACAGTAGTTCTAAAGAGGAAAAGGAAAAGAAAAGCTTGAGGACGTCGACATCTGACTCGGGAAAGTTTGAAGGTCCGGCACTGAGTGAGACCGTCATGGCGGAAATGGACAGATTGATGGAGGAGAACAAGAGGCTGCACAATATAGTCACTCAGATGCATCAGAAACATCATGAAATTATCCTCAAGGTTTTTATTATTTATTTATTTATTTATTTATTATTATAATTGTTATAAATATTGTTATAATTTTAATGTCGTTATTGAGAGTATTAATTTTATTTTGATACTTTAACTTGCCCTACTTTATTAGGATTAAATTAAATTTCACATTTAAAAAATCTGTTAAAATAGCAAATATAATATTTTAAAAATAACAATAAATTAATTAATTTATAAAATGATAACATTTAGAATTTGTTGTTTGTTATTTTCAAAACAACACAGAATTCCGAGTTGCAGGACAAGAATGCAGCTGCCGAAACAGAATCGGCTGAGTTAAAGAATCATCTGGAGGAGGCGGAGTATCACCTGGAGTCATCCAATAACAGGTCTGCAGGGGTTTTTTTCATTGGCTGGTTGGTTATGATTGATGGATTGGATTGTTACTTGATTGGTCTGTTTGTTGTTTTGGTGATTAAGTTTGAAAAATGTCTGATTCCCTTCAAATTTTTATGAATGGTCATGTATACCATTGCTTGAATTCATGAATGGTGGAACGAATGAATGACTGTAAATGACTGAATGAATAAATTATGGAATGAATGAATGATGAATGAATAATGACCGTCCATCTATCTATTCTTTTACAAATTTGCAGAGTGACCAAACTGGACAAATATCTAAATGAGGTTCTCTCGAAATTGAAGACCTACCAAGAGGGAGAGATCAAAGTTCAAGGGGGCGGTGAAGGGGTGTCCAAGAATAAGGTTATAATATGATAAGATGATGGTGGCGATAATAATGGTGATGTAGTGATGATGATGTATTTCATTACAACAACCTTAACGACAAACAAACACACAGTTCAACGAAATGATGGCAGAACTGGAGGAGCAGAAGGAACTTGCCATGACGAGGTGGTGACGATGATGACGACGACGATGATGACGATGATGATGATGACGACGACGACGATGTTAAAGATGATACTGATTTGTTATCATTATTTACTAACTTGTATAGGTTGGGAGAGTTGGAAAAACTGCAAGAGGAGCACGAGGAATCTGTGAAAGAGAATGAGAAGCTAAAAATAGATGTGAGGATGACGTCATAAGGATTGTTGCAATCATCACATTTTTATTATCCATGCATACCATCATCATTGTCGTTATCATCTTCGTCATCGTCATCTTCATCTTACTCTTCTTCCTCCTCCTCCTCATCATCATTTTCATCATCTTAATCACCACAGCTAGCAACACTACCGGAATCAGTGATAACGGAAACAACGGAGTACAAATGTTTGCAGTCGCAGTTTTCAGTTCTGTACAACGAGAGTGTGCAGATGAGGGCACAGCTGGAAGAGTGCCGGAACCTCTTCAGCGCCAGTAAGAACGCCCACCTCAGGCAGATCGAACAGATGGAGGTCAGTTGGGTTGCCTCTGTTTGTTTGCCTTGTTGTTTCTGCTGCCATCATCTTCAATGTTATTGCCACCCACCATCGTCATCATCACTCACTCACCCACCCAAACGATGACACGATGACAAACACAAACGTAGTTGGAAGAGCTGGCGATGCAGAAGAAATTGAGGAAGGAGATGATTGAGATGGAGGACTTGCATGCCCAGGTGTGCAGGGAGCACGACAACCTCAGGATGGAGTTCGAACAGACGCTCGCCGCCAATGAACAAACTGGTCTCTTTCTTCTCTCTACTATTTCTATGTTGTATTTTATTATTAATTCTTGTAGATGTTAATAGCGAAGTAGTGGTGGTGGAGTTATTTTTTAGTATTGAAACGGCGGTGGCTGTGGTGGTGGCGGTGGTGCTTCTAATTTGGTCGGACACTGATGAAGTTGGTATATAGAGGTGCTGCTCTCAGGGTTGAAATAAAAGTCTCAGTCATGTTGTTATTCAGTTTCAAATTATCTTCTGCATATGTTTTTTTTATTCAATTTCAAGATGTGTTTTAAATTCAAACGTATTTTGCTTGCTGTGTTAATGAAACTGTTATCGCTACGAAAGTAGTACAACGCGTACACGAGTGTACAATGCCAATGAGAATGTACTACAATGTGATTGATGTGCAGGACCTATAAACAGGGAGATGCGCAACCTGATCAGCAGTTTGAAGACCCACAATGAACAGTTGAAAGGTGAGGTGCAGAGGTACAAGAGGAAACTGAAGGAGGCCTATGACGATGTCGAGAAGGTTCGTTTATCTGGTCAATATGTTGACTGGTTGGTTGACTGGTTGGTTGGTTTTGTTTGTTTGTTTGTTGTTGCTGACTGGTTGGTTGATGCTTCAATTGATTCATTCAATAATTAATTGCAACAAACTTTAGCTAGTGAGTTAATGTTACCCATCCACATCTTTCCCACTTTCTTTTGTTTAATTTATTTTTGCACTGACTGGATTCTTCTTGCTTTTTTAATGTTATCAATATTTTATCATCATCATCATCATCGTCGTCATTCTCTTCATCTTCATCATCACTATCATCCTCTTTGTCCTCATCACCAGTTGAAGCAGGAAGTAGCGGCAGCAGCAGCAGCTTCTCAACCATCATCATCGGCGGCAGCATCATCGTCATCAACTGCTGAAGGTACGTCAGCCAATGAGCTTGGAGCTTCCGACGTCATCAACAAGGAACAGGAAGAGCTTGAGAGACACAGATTGGAAGCTGAGATTATCAAAGATCTTAAATGTGATATCAAGTATTATTTATTTTTGAACTTTTACAATTAAAAATTAATATTACTACTTTAATTAATCAGAAATAATGGTAAATTTTAAAATCAAATTTCAATTGTTAATTTGATAATTATTTTTAAATGCAGGAAACTGCAGGAAAAAGAGAAAGAAATAAAAATTCATCTTGACAGTCTAAAGAGTATGTCAAAGGAAGGGCGAGATAAGGCACAAGTCAGTTCATTTTTGATTAGCTGTTTGATTGATTGATTTATTTATTGATTGGTTGATTGATTGGTTGATTGATTGGTTGGTTGATTTGTAAGTTTTTTGATTGATTTTTTTTATATTAGCCGGTTGAATAGTTGACTAACTAGCTTGTTGATTGCTGCCAGCACACACTCACACGCACACATACATCTACTGAACAGCTGATGGCATCGGAAAAAAAGGCCAAAATGGAATTCGAGGAATCGCGCAACCATATGAGGAGGTTGCAGCAGGAACTGGACCGCAAGGAGAGGAGGAAACACGGCGATGATGACGTCATGAAGAGGTTGAGGAAGTTAGAGGAACATAACACTGAACTGCAGAGGTGTCTCTCCGCTCAGAAACAGGTGATTATGATGATGATGATCGTGATGATGATGATGACGGTGGTGGTGGTGCTGGTAATGGTGATAATGATGGTGACTAAGATAATAATAAAAATAATCATGATGATTGTGATGATGATTGGTTGGTGATAGAAATGATATTAATAATAATAATTAATGACGACAATGAGTGACATCTCTAATGCAATGAAGTTCTCCTCAGTATTGTTGTCAGACGGTTTTCATTTATTTGTTCTTATTTATTGTTTTTGGTGAACAGGAAGAGGAAGCCATGTTGAATGAGATGGAGGTGACAGGTCAGGCCTTTGAGGATATGCAGGAGCAGAATGTTCGACTGATGCAACAACTCCGGGAAAAAGATGACGCCAACTTCAAGCTTATGTCTGAGGTTCCATGTCGATGTCCCTATAAAGATAAACAGTCACAAATTAAACCTGCCACAGCTATACAAACAAACAAACAATCTGACAAACTTACAAACAAACAAACAATCAGACAAACTTACAAACAAACAACAAACAAACATTGGCACATCGATCAACTTAACTACACAAGACACCTTTTAAAAAATGCAATACAACGCAATACAATACAGCGTATCAAGTCGAACCAGATCCAGAAACTGTTGAGAGATGAGAAGGATGTGCTGGCAGAACAGGTGGAAACCCTTCAACACCAGGTCGTTGCTGTTGTTGTATTGTGTCGTTGTTGTTTCTTGTGTCGTTGTTGTTATTGTTGTT